TCTGCTTCCCCTATTCCAGACATTTCTGCCCCTCCTGACACATCGGGCAGGAGCTCCCTCCTTGGGTCATCACCAATGGATCTCTCTTTTTATCTTGTTTTCTATTCCATGAGTTGAACTCCTCAAGTTCTGGGACATGGGTATATTCATATCCAGTTCTAAGCCCAGGGCTGGATACACCGGTAAGGGAGACAATGTGCCATAGCTACCCTGAGTAGGGTGGGTAGGCACTCCTGTGTCAGCACAGTAGACACAGGCACGCCTTCTTGCTACCATCCTAAATGCCTCGGAATCTAATGGAGGCAGATGTGGAAACAGCATAAAAATAGAAAGAGATGCAGAGTACATTGAGCTATGTTGAGCTAAATAAGCAGGAGGCATTTGGGCCTTAGGTTTAGGAGAATGTGTTGACTGTTTCTGCCAAGCACAATGACTAACTGGCCAGATCATGCATAAATAGGGGAAATACATTATTTTCCCAAAACACCAACAGAGCAGATGCCTAACTGACCAGCCGGGTGATTTCCATGCTTGTTCTGTAACTGGTCCCTGAAGCATCCATGATTACTATTGTTTCAGTTACTTTTCTCGTTGCTGTGACAAAATACTTTTTCAAAAGCAACTTGAAGAAGGAAATGCTTTTGTTTGTTTGTTTGTTTGTGTTTAAAGAATAGATGCAGTCTATAGTGGTTGGAAAAGCTCAAGTTTTACACACAGGAAGCAGAGAGTGGAACAGGAAGTAGCTCAGGTAATAGATCCACGCCAAGTGACTCACTTCCTCCAGTGAGGCTCTACCTCCTACAGGATCCACGGCCTTCCAGAGCACTACCACCAGCTGGGGACCAGATGTTCAAACACAGAAGCCTCCTGCAGGCGTTTCACACTCAAAGCACAGCACAGGCTGACGGTAGGACTCTCTGGGACTCATGGCTCTGAGCCCTGCTCAACCCATGAATTGTTCCTTGCTCAAATTAAATTGTTCAATTTACTGTATCTAAAATGTGTATTTTAAAAAGATTTCATGATGTTTGTTTGTTTTATGTGTATGACTGTTTTGCTTGCATGTCTGTGTATCACATGCCTCCAGTGCTCTGGGAAGCAAGAAAAGGGTGTTAGTGGGTGTGGGGAACTGAACCCTGGTCCTCTGAAAAACTGGCCAGTGCTCTTAACCGCTGAGTGCTCTTAACCATCCCTTTCATTTCTCAACTGTTTTAATAGTAGGAGCTATTTGGATGAGTCCAGGGAAGATATTCTGGTCAAGAGAATGACATGAGTGGTGAAAGAACATCACGTGGTACTGTAAATATAAGGAAAAATGGAGGCTTCATTTAGTAGTAGGATCAGTCAGAGACTGAGAAGAATAAAGGAGAGGAAGTGAGAGAAGGAAGGATAGGAGGAGATGAGGGACTGTGTTTGCAATCACCATCCAGGATGGTGTTTGGGAAACCGGAAAACCATTAGGTGGTTGTCTTAGGGTTACAATTGCTGTAGTGAAACACCGTGACCAAGAGCAAGCTGGGAAAGAAAGGGTTTATTTGGCTTACACTTCCATATTTCTGCTTGTCATCAAAGGAAGTCAAAAGAAGAACTCAAAATGGGGCAGTAACCAGGAGGCAGGAGCTGATGGAGAGGCTATGGAAGGGTGCTGTTTACCGGCTTGCTCCTTACGACTTGCTCGGCCTGCTTTCTTATAGAACCCAGGATCACAAGACCAGGGAATGGCACCACCCACAATGAGCTGGGCCCTCCCACATCACTGATCAAGAAAGCCCTCCAGGCTTGCCAACAGTTTTATTTTATGGAGGAATTTTCTTAATTGAGGTTCCCTCCTCTCAGATGACTTTAGCTTGTGTCAAGTTGACATAAAACTGGCCAGCACAGTGGTTAATATTCACAAGTGTACATCTGAGGAAGTTGCAGTACAATAGTACAATAAGTTCACTCTTTAATGGCACTCTTTAATACCCAAAGAGGCTAAGATATACAACACCAAAAAAACAAAACAAAAACCTCTTCTAATCTCTCCCTAGTAATTATTTTTTAATCATCTGAATCCTAAGACATCTCAAGATCTTTTGACTTTTTTCTCCTAGAACAACCTTTGCTCTATCTAAAAGTTTTGTCAGCAAAACTTGGTTTCTTAAAACTTTTTATCTTTTTTAGTGAGTGATATTCTCACTTCCAGTGTCTCTGTTTCATTTAGTTTAGTTTTCTGTCCCCAGTTTAAATCTGCTCCTCATCCTTCCCTTCCCTGCTTCCCTGTTCTTTTTTTTTTTCTTTTCCTTTCCTCTCCTCTGTCTCCCTACCCATTCTTGCATTAGGGCTTAGACCTCATGCTTCGGGCATGCTAAGAAAGCACTCTGAACTATGCATGCAGCCCTCACTGAAAGCATTTATATGTAGATTTTCATACTTTTTCTACTCCGCCAGCTAAACCCTGTGCAGCTAACACAAACAGGCCACTTTGTGATGATAATAGAAGGCTCTGCATTTTCAATGTTACATATTTGGGAGCATTTACAATAACTAAACTGCACAATGGTCAGAAAAAGTAGAAAAGCAAAAAAAGGTAGGAGGTGTGGAAGTGAGGTAACCTGTAGACCTAGGTCCAGGAACTTACAGCTCAAGATATGAAAGGCAGAGTAAAGAAGATTCAGATTTCAAGACTGCTTTTTAGCTGGACTCTAGAATAATCTAATACATTAGTCACCACGGTTGGGAACAGTTATATTCAAGATACAGAACAAAGAGGGTAAATTTGATTTGCTGGTCTTAAGAGAGCAGTGTGATAGTAGGTCTTATGTAAGAAGCACTGCTTTAATTTGATCCTAGATGCCACCAGGCTTTTGATCTATGTGCTCTAAAACAGTACTTATGGATAAACACTTCCGGAGATTGGCTATACATGGGTAATTTCTAAAGGAAATGAATCTACTTTGTTTTGCCCCCCCCCCCATCACCACTAATACCACTCACTTTTTTTCTGGGTAGGGAGTAGCACCTTACTGAAAGTTTTCTCTAAGAAATACACATTAAAATAACTTAAGGTTTAAAATTACGGGATGATTAAGATAAAAAAAGAACTTAAAGGAGGTGGTGGTGCTTGTTTATCCACAGAGAAGTGTGAGTTGAAGCACTGAAAAGGGATAACCCACTTCCAGGGCATGAAAAAAAGACAGGGCTTTTGGAAGTAGAGCTTTAAATAACACTTGACACCTGAGAGAGAGAGAAAGAGAGAGAGAGTTAGAAAGATACTCAGTTGTGATGGCAAAATCATGAATTTCCAAGTGTGAAAAGTAATCTATCCTTTTAAAGATTCAGTCTTTTAATCTGAGAAATATCACCCAGCTTGTTAGGTTATATTGGAATTTGAAACTGATACTACATACACATGACCAACTCAATAAACACTATTATTAATAGTTTTCAGTTAAACTTCCTTGATGAGTTAAAGAAAAGCTTTGAAGAATATAAACTAGCATATAGAAACCTAGATGTCTGACAATTACTTTAGAAAATTCTAGAAACCCTATACAAAAAAAAAAAAAAAAAAGCGCAATCCTAGCTCAAACAAGCCTGGGATAATAACAATGCAGTCAAGGCAGAAACTTTAGAATTAGGACACAGAAGTAGATACCACAGAAATTTCTCCAAGGCACCATGACCTGTAACTTTTACAATCAGCCTGTCCTTAAGAGACACTGGACGATAGCTAGCGTCAGAAGCTCGGGAAGTGCATCTGCTTCGCTCCATGCCTGAAGATGTAGGTAACAGATGAAGTACTGGAACTTTCCTGCAACTACAGACATCAGCTGGCACCCGCAGGGCAGGGCAGGGCAGTGGAGAACCACCCGCAGCAGAATGCCGAGCTCCTGTGGCATGCTTCTGCTAGAACAGGTCACAATGCCACAAACGCAGGCACAAGCCGTTTTCAGAATGGGTCAAATGAATATACAAAGTCAGAAAAAGAGTGGGCCTGGGGATTAAAAGCTCTGTCCTGACAGATAAGTATTTTTGTTTTGTTTTGTTTTGTTTTCCTTCAGCACTAAGAGATGGGCCAATTAAAAAGATTTCTCCAGGCAAGTCCACTTCACACAGTTGATAGGTGGTCACGAGAATGTGTTTACAGTCTTTTCTGCTTGCATTCTGAGCTGGTCTGAGGGACTTGTTGCTACTGAGAGTGGCCGTTTTGACATGGCTGGCCAGTATCTTTTATCAAGGCTACTGCATGCTGTCAAGATGGAGATGACTAGCAGGATGACAATCAGGCCTTTGAAGACACACTTAAGGTGTTGGGGTCATTCAAATTCTCAAGAGTATCAGGGTGACTGATACATGGACACTAACAGACAAGGGTGTCCTCTCTGCTGGTACTCATTAGTTCTTTGCACAGACATGGGCTAAAGCGCAAATGAATTTACCCCTGGAACTCATGAGGTCTTCATTAAAGATGTTATGGGAGCAAATGTGCATTCATGAATTCTGAATTATGGCCACTTTCCCAAATATCACAAAGCTAGAGCAAACGAGTACACATAAAGTGTCCTGCTCAAGACTGACTCAAAGATTGGAAGCATTGGTATCAGTCAAGTGGCCTAAGTGCCCAGAAAACAGCATTTCCAGGCAGCTTACCAGTGGAGACTTCCAGGGACCTTTTGCACTGATTGCCCCTTCAGTCTCTTCACTCCTGGGATCCTTTCCTACGTTTAGTACTCTTCCGATGAACCAATTTATCCCGTTTAGCCTGGTTATAGCATCTGACTATATATAAGAGCACACATGGTTTTCATTTTCAGCATCTGCGGGAATGTAAACTTTATGTATGGAGAAGTAGTAAAAAATACTGATTTTTAATTTGATGGTTTGTGTGTGTATGTGTGTGCAATGGATAACCTCATTTGGTTTCTGACAAATTTCTGTTCATTTTCAGGATTACAGTGATATGACTCATGGAATTGAAAAAATAAGAAGAAGAAGAAGAAGAAAAAAAAAAAACTTACATTGGCTGTAAGTTTCTCCTGGGAATCTTTTACTTCAGCTTGCAGCTGCTTGATGCACTGGAAAGAGAAGGGTTAAGAGTACACTTGAGTAACTCTTCACAGTGAAAGATGGAATAGGTAAATGTGCCTGTTCTCAGGCTACTGACTGGAAGCATTATCATCTCAGCTAGATGTTTCAGAAATCTGTACTAAAGAGGTCATTTCTCCATTTCTCTTTCTCTTCTATTCTAGGAGAGAGCCTGAGGGCAAAGAACAAAATGTGTTAACTGCTGGGAAATGGTTGGGGAAAATGATAGCTTGCGGAGATGAGGTTAAAGTGCACAAGTATGTGTGTGTGTGTGTGTGTGTGTATACACATGTACACACATGCAGTTTTACAAGAAATGTATCTATAGGCATATACAAAGTCTTTGGACTGAAGAAGAGGCACACTTAAATGATGATATATTCATAAGTTTTCAGAAATCCATTGTTTTATAAATTAAAAATAGCTGAATAGTTTGTGTCAACTTGACATAAACTAGAGTTATCTGAAGGGAGGAAACTTCAATTGACAAAATGCCTCCATAAGAACCTTCTGTAGGACACTTTCTTTTTTTAATTAAATTTTATTTTTTTATATTAATAGTTTATTTGTTTTGTATCCCAGCTGTAGCCCCCTCCCTCATTCCCTTCCAATCCCACTCTCTCTTCTTCATCTCCTTCCATGCCCCTCTCCAAATCCACCTAACCCTAGCCTATCAGATCTCATCAGGACTGGCTGCATTGTCTTCTTCTGTGGCCTGGTAAGGCTGTTTCCCATCAGGGAGAGGTGATCAAAGAGCCAGCCACTGAGATCATGTCAGAGACAGTCCCTATTTCCCTTACTAGGGTCCCCACTTGGAGAGTGAGCTGCCATGGGCTGCATCTGAGCAGGGGTTCTAGGTTATCTCCATGCAAGGTCCTTGGTTGGAGTATCAGTCTCAGAAAAGACCACTGGGCCCATATTTCTTGGTTCTGTTGCTCTCCTTGTGGAGCTCCTGTCCCCTCCAGGTCTTTCTATCTCCCCCTTCCTTCATAGGATACCCTGAACTCTGCTCAAAGCTTGGTTATGAGTCTCTGCATCTGCTTTGATACACTGCTGGGTGGAGTCTTTCAGAGGCCCTCTGGGTTAGGTTCCTGTCCTATTCCCTATTTTCTCCTTCTTCCAATACCTATCCCATTTGTTTTTCTGAATGAGGATTGATTATCTTACCCAGGGTCCTCCTTCTTGCTTAGCTTTAGGTATACAGATTTTATTATGCCTATCCTATATTATATATTATATGTCTAATATCCACTTGTAAGTGAGTATATACTGTGTGTGTCTTTCTGCTCCTGGGATACCTCACTCAGGATGATCTTTTCTAGATCACACCATTTGCCTGCAAATTTCATAATTTCCTTGTTTTTAGTTGCTGAGTTGTACTCCATTGTGTACATGTACCACAATGACCTCAGCATTAAACCAGACACAGAAAACCTGTTAGAAGAAAAAGTGGGAAAGAGCCTAGAACTCACTGGCACAGGAAAAAACTTCCTGAACAGAACACCAACAGCACAGGCTCTAAGATAAACAATCAATAAATGGGACCTCATGAAACCGAAAAGCTTCTGTAAAGCAAAGGACACTGGCATCAGAACAAAACAATTGCTTACAGATTGAGAAAGAATCTTCACCAAACCTTTATCTGACAGAGGGCTAATATCCAGAATATGTAAAGAACTCAAGAAGTTAAAAAGCAACAAATCAAGTAATCCAATTAAAAAATGGAGTACAGAGCATATCAAAGAATTCTCTGTAAAGGAATACAGAATGCCAGAGAAACACTTAAAAGAAATGCTCAACTTCCTTTGTCATCAAGGAAATGCAAATCAAAACAATCCTGAGATTTCGCCTTCCACCCATCAGAATGGCTAAGATGAATAACTCAAGTGAAAACACATGCTGGAGAGGTTGTGGAGAAAGGGGAACCCTCCTCCATTGCTGGTGGAAATGTAAACTTGTACAACCACTTTGGAAATCAATCTGGTGCTTTCTCAGACAATTAGGAATAGCGCTTCCTCAAGAAGATCCAGCTATACCACTCCTAGGCATATATCCAAAAGATGCTCAAGTACACAACAAGGACATTTGCTCAACCATGTTTGTAGCAGCTTTGTTCGTAATAGCCAGAATCTGGAAACAACCCTCAACGAACAAATGGATGCAGAAATTGTGGTACATTTAGGACACTCTCTTAATTCGTGATTGATGGGGGTGGGCCCAGCCTGTTAGATGTGATGCCATCCCTGGGTGTGAGGTCTGGCTTCTTTAAGAAGCAGGCTGAGCCCAGGGGCCATGCAGGGGGTCCAACTAAGAACCATGCATGGAGAGGACCTAGATCCCCTGTTCAAAGGAATCTCACTTTCCAAGTGGGTTCCATAGTAAGGGGTACAGGGGCTGTCTCTAAAATTTGTTTTTTTAAGAACTGATGTCAGGAACTCACTTGAGTGTTAAAATGGTTGAAATCCTGCATTGAGGATTTTAAATGAACATGCTATCCGAAGAGGACCTCCCACTATTTGCCTGCACATTTCATGATTTCCTTGTTTTTAATTGCTAAGTAGTATTCCATTATGTAAATGTACCACAATTTCTGTATCCATTCTTCTGTTGAGAGATATCTGGGTTGTTTTCAGGTTCTGGTTATTATGAATAAAGCTGCTACGAACATGGTTGAACAAATGTCCTTGTTGTGTACTTGAGCATATTTTGGATATATGCCTGGACCCCCACATGGCCCCCTGGGCCCAGACATTTTGGCTCTGTCATTTTCCTTGTAGAGTTCCTATTCCCTCCAGATCTTTCTATATCCTTCTTCTTCCATGGGGATTCAGGCACTCTGTTCAGGGTTTGGCTGTGAGTCTCACTATCTCCTTCAATACTCTGGTGGGTAAAGTCTTTCAGTGGCCAGCAATTTGATCACTTCCCCCTGGAGGTTGCAGCCTTGCCAGGCCACAGAGGAAGATGATACAGCCAGCCTTGATGAGATCTGATTAGCTAGGGTCAGATAGAAGGAGAGGAGGTCCTCCCCTATCAGGGGACTTGGGAAAGGGCATAGGGTGAGAAGAGAGAGGTTGGGTGGGACTGGGAGGAGACAAGAGAGGGGGCTGCAATGGGGATGTAAAGTGAATAAATTATAATAAATAAACATATAAATAAAATTAAATAAAAAACAAAAACAAACAAACAAAAAGAAGCAGGCTGAGCAAGCCATGGGGAGCAACTGATAAACAGCACCCCTCTGTGACCTCTGCTTCAGCTCTGGACTCCAGGATCCTGCCCTGTAGAGTTCCTGTCCTGACTTCCTGCAATGAGGAGCAGTGCTGTGACAGTGCCAGCCAAATAAACCCTCTCCTCCCCTACTTGCTCTTGCTTCTTTGGCTTTTGGTGTTTTGTCATAGTAGTAGTAAACCCTAACTAAGACAACATGTCATATTTTATGATCTAGTGTTTTATTATACAGAAATGAGTCCTTCATCAGGTCCAGACTTTGAAAACTAATCTATCTATCTATCTATCTATCTATCTATCTATCTATCTATCTATAAAACATCATGTACAAAGTAAGTAGAGCATGCAGCAGTAAAATATTGCCCAAAACACTACATTAATTAAAAGGCTTAAAATGTAACTAAAATGTTTAACCCGCTAGTGTTCATCAGGAAATAGTTACCTTTACAAAATGTAAATGTTGTATTCACTCCCATTATCTCAAATATGAACTTTTTTTTTCTTTTTTTCAATGCTGAGGATTGAACCCAGGTCCTTGTACATCCTAAGAAAATCTCTATTGCCACCAGAGATTTTTAGGTTAAAAGCTTGGGCTCTGCCATTCCCAATAAACTAGGCCCAGGCCCCTATCCCAATATACCAATTAAGAGAAAGAATGGTAAGAACAGAGGAGAAAGGAGATACCTTTTTCATGGGCACATTGGGAAGAGGAAAAACTACAAAGGTCCAATGACCCCGCCTCCAGTCCAACCTTTGGCTTACTGACACTGAACTAGCGGGCAACGAGTCTGCACAGGGAAGACCTCCAGGTCAAGATGTGATCTGCCCAGCACTGGCCCATCATTTCCTCAGCTCAATCTTAAAATGCAGCCTCACCCTTGTGGGCATTGGCCCTCAACTGGACCGCCTGAATTTTTCTCTCCCAGGTTTTGACCTTCTGGGATCCTACGGGATGGTAGGGTTAGACAATGACGTAGCTCTATGCCTTCAGCCAAAGAGACAGACACAGAATGAAGGCAGAGGTGTCTATTTCCCCTTCTGCTTTTAGCTAACCTCTGGGCCACAGGGAAGAGTCAACACTTTTAGTAAAAACAGCTCCTACAGTACCCGTTTCATTACAACTGAAGGCCCAGCCCATTCATGGGGAACTTTCAACCCAGTAAGTAATGGCTTACAGACTTAACATAAGCAAGCAGGTGGCCTTTCCTCTACGTACCTTGTCTTTCTCAAGAACCATGTTTTCATATGACTCTCCACCAACACTCATTTGGCTCACATCCTCTAGTCTTTTTTCCAGCAAGGAAACTCTCTCAACCAGTTCTGATTTTGTTTCTTCAGAGGCTGTAAGCTAAAGATACGTTTTCGTAAGGACACTGAATTCATTGGTACTTTTTAAAAGGCTTCTTTTAAAGGCTCAAGTTAGTGAGAAAAGTGTTCTGGTTTGAAAGCTTGACTAAAGGCACATTCAGAGCGACACATTTCTATACTGTTTGTACAAAAATGTTTTTGAGAAAGGGTATGATTTCTAATTGGAATAATATCAAAATTTTGTCATATATTTATAAAAAAAAAAAAGCTCTACTTAGGAATGAATTGTCTTATGCTAATGTCCGTTGACTCTTTCTGTAAAGAGCTTCTGCAACATTCTCTGCAAATGAGCAATGATCAGAGAAAGAAGGAAATACTGTTGATTACATTGTTTCTAACATGGGCAACAGAGATAAGAAAACACAGCCACAGTACGGGAGCCATTTCCCTTTGCCAGGGTCTCAACACTCACCTCAGTTGTGTCCTGAGGTTCCACTGTGCCACTGCTGCCTCTGAAATCTTATGAACACACATGACTCTTGAAACTTAATTCTTGTGGGTCTACAGCTCTCCACAAAGTGTGGGGGTTCTTACTTGCTTAAACAAGAGCAGCAATGTTGGAGGAGGAGGGGAATGTTGGAAGTGAAATGTTTCAAGATAAAGTCTCATTGAAAGCCAGATCTAGGCAAAGTACAGCCAAATACCCTCTTGTGTTTCTTCTACTGTTCAGGTCCCTCTTGTGGGGGTGTTGCAGTGGTTCTAGTTCCACAGAGAGCTCCCTGGCTCTGGCTCTTTTCTCTCAGACAGCTCATTATGCTCTGACTCTGAAGTTCATCAGCGCTTATTATTTATTTATTTATCTATTTATTTATTTATTTATTTATTTATCTATTCATTTAGGTATCACCTCTTAGACTGAAGGACTAGATAGATACTCAGCTCTAAGTTGACTTGCTTAAGACTGCATGTCTAATAAAATGGATTAGATTCAGACTACATTGGTCTGCTTCCCATCCCTGGGCTCTAAGTCATGTCTGGCCTTAGCTCTGAGGCTGTCCACCAAGATGAACTCTGTGATACTGTATCTCTTTAGAAGTCTTTCCCAGCATGTTGACTTATCTACATGAGGGCTATATTTTTCTCATCTATGACTAAGAAATCTCCCTGTCTGGAGACCTTTTTCCTTGTAAGGCAGATGCTCACCTTAAATTCTCCTTTTTTGTGTATAAGAGTTTAACTCAAGCTCAGCATAGTTTAGAGAAGGCTTCACTCAGAGCCTGGAGATCCATGTTTGAGTTCTGAGTCCAGAGTTCACTAATACTATGATCTCAGTGCAGATGGCTGTATTTTACTATGAAGCTTTGTGCTTTGCTATATTTTGGCAGTTTAGTTCCCCGGAAGTTTGGACTACATTATAAATCTCCAAGAAAAATGAACAGAGAATTCGATGGCTACTGATCACAATGCTGGGGTGGCAGGGCACCCCTGTCATCACAGTCCTTAGGAAGTGGAGGCAGGAGGAGCAGGAGGCCAAGGCCTTTCTTGACTACACAGTGACTCTGAGGCAAATATGGGCGACATGAAATCCTGTCTCAACACACACGTGCATGCACAAACACACATGCACATTAAATCATATTGGCCTGCACCAATTCTGGCTTTGAGTTTTCCACATTAACTTTTGACCCATGTTTCTTGTTTATTATGGATTATTGTCTCATGAAAGCACAGTAAAGGGGTTGTGTTGTTTTCTCCTCAAATGGATCGTTTGTGGAAAAACCTGGAAATTTACTGTTGGATTCTACCATGTATTTGTGAACCTAATTACTGACGGGACAATAATTAGTCTCTCTACCCTTTGAAAATGGCCATGAAATAAGCCTGATAGTCAGAAAGGGGAGGGGGAGTGGAAAGCAATGTGATAAAATTAAAATGAGAGCTCCATGAAATTTAGCAGTAGGAAGGGAGTGGACAGCATCTGTCCTGTACATGACTGACTTCTGACTTCTATGGACCCCGAGTATCACCTTTGCATGAGTATAGGATTCACCCACTGAGGGACTAACATTTGAGTTCTGGGTTTTGACTCTTTCTGGAGACAAGGTCCCTCCCTCTTTTCTCAAGATCCTAAATTGTTGGTAAAAGATGATCATAAAAACACTGGCATTAATTTGATCAAAATACATGTGCAAAATTGTCAAAGAAGAAATAAAAATATTTGAAACATTATAACATGAGACATCAAAGATAAACTATACCTGTTGTACCATACTTATAGTCAGGAAAAGGTACTGATTTGTTTTAGAGTCATATTTAAGTCATATTCAGATTAGAGGATGCCAGATGGGAGGCTCCAGGAATTAACGTAAATAACAACTGATGTAAATAACAACTGAGTTGACAAAATGATCAGAATAAGTTACTGAAGTCCAGAAGAACATTTTCTGGTTCTAAAAAAGTACTTGATGAAGACAAATATTGATATCCAAAGAATCTCTGTCATCACTAACTACAGAAATAATTTTTAAAAAGGACTTCAGTGACCACATGACAAAAAAAAAAAAGTCTTTGCAAAATTGGTGCAAAGAGAAATCACTAACTAAATAGACAATTATCTTCAACAAGTGATATCACCAATTCTTAGAAGTAAAAAGATAGGATCTGACATCTAGAATCTTTACATCACAATGTAAACATGTCTATTTCTCAGCAAAACTACTCACCTTTTAAATACAATATGACATTTTTCTTTGGGAGGAAAAACTCATTTCTTAAACATAAAAGAAATTGACAGAAATCAAAGCATGAAATCCTAGAGAATACATTCTAGACTTTCTGAACAAAAAACTTATGTCCTTAACTGTGCTCGGAGGTTAAAAACAAAATAAGACATACAAGCAAACAGGAAAAAAAAAATCTACACAGCAGAAAGAAAGGAAATCTGAAGAATAATGTGTAAATAAACAGGAAATAGCAGAAAGATTATAAAAGGGAGACAAACAGAAGTTAAAAAGTTGCTTTAGTGAAAATCTGCTAGGACAATGTGGTGTAAGCTAGCAGATGAAGAGTCAGTGATCCAGAAGAGAGTTCTCTTTATCAATTCAGATGGGTACAACAACATCTAAACAGTCTAGGTGGTTAAATAAGGAAAGCTGTAAGTGAGACTATGTATGAATCCTAAGTGGCTCACTCTAGTCTCTCCTATTTCCTATAAAAAATAATCACCCTAGGTTACTCTACCTTCATGATTATCTCTAGACCTAATTATTTCCCAAAGGATTATGATTTCAACATTTGGAGTCAGAACAGGTACAGTCTTTAGAATTCCACCTCTAGCCCTCCCCAAATTCATGTCATGTTTAAATGCAAATGCATTCAATCTCAACAAAGTCTTAGCCTGTACAACCTTCAACTTTATTTTTTTAATTAATTAATTAATTTACTTTACATCCCAATCATAGACCACTCCACCCTGTCCTACCAGTCCCACTTTACCTCCTCCATCCCCCTCCCCTATTCCTCAGAAAAGGGAAGCTTCCCCCTACCCAACCACACCAGTTCATCAAGTCTCATGAGAACTCATTTTCCCTTTTGGCCTGGTAAGGTATTCCCATCCAGGACGACATGATCAAAAAACAGGCAACAGAGTTTGTTAGGGACAGCCTCCTCTCCTTTTACTTGTGGACCCACATGAAGCCTGAGCTTCATATACGTGGAGGACCTAGGTCAATCCATGCATAGTCCTTGGTTGGTGCTTCAGACTCCACAGACCCCTCTGGGTCCTGGTTAGTTGGTTTGCTGATCTTCTTGTGGAGCTCTTGCCATCATACAATAAGGACATTTGCTCAACTATGTTCATAGCAGTTTATTTGTAATAGCTAGAGTCTGGAAACAACCTAGATGTCCCTCAACTGAAGAATGGATAAAGAAACATTTACCCAGTGGAATACAACTCAGCCATTAAAAACAAGAAAATCATGAAATTTGCAGGCAAATGGTAGGAACTAGAAAAGATTATTCTAAGTGAGGTATCACAGAATGACACGTTATGCACTCACTTATAAGTGGAGTTAGCCTTATACTACAGGATAAACATACTACAACGCACAGACCCCGAAAAGGTAAGTAACAAGGAGGACCCAAGGGAGGATGCTTATCTCACTCAGAAGGGAACATATAATAGACAGGGGTTGAGGAGAGGGAACAAGATAGGAGAGTGAGTGAAGAGAGAAATAAGTGTGGAGATCAGACCTGGGGACAGTGAGGATGGGAGGACAGAAGGCCTGCAGAGAAAAAAAAAACTGTGGGTGGGGCATCTCTAGGATAAGCTGGAGACTAAGCCAGGATAACCTTCAACTTTAAAGACAAGGTTTCATCAACCAACGTGTGTTCTCAATCGCATAACAATAAGACAGTTCATCTGGAGATAATATTCTTCTCCACATGGGAAACCAAACAAATCCTATGCTTCCAAACTATAGTGGTCAAATAGGCACAAGATAAGCATCCCTATTCTACAAAGGATAAATAAAGAAGGAAAGATGAATCCTATGAGCCTGTAAGGTTTGAGAATCATCCTCTGATGTGCTGTGGTTCTGTTGGGAAGGGCTTGATCCTCTGCAGCCGTGCACAGTGTGGATCTCACCCCTAGGACTCTGCTGAGTAGAGGTCTCATCTCCAGGGCTCTGCCACATAGGGGCCAGGTTTCCAGAAGTCTACCACAGAAGTTTTGTTCCTAAGGTGCTGCCACCATGAGCTTGTACCCCCATAGTTTTATATGACCCCTCCATCATGGCTTGTTTGGCTTAATCTTTTGTTCTGTGGAATCTAGGACATCAGAAACCCTCCCCTCATTCCATCCCATCTCCATCACTTGTAGCTGAAATTCTTAGTATTCCTGTTGAGAGTAGATATGTGGTTCACCCTCATGACTATCTCCTTAAGAGACAGTTGCATGGCAACACCCTGGGCATTCTCCACAACATAAATAAGCTGAGAACTTTCTGTTCTTTGCTCAACAATTATCTTTTTCAACTTTGC